AGAGTTCCACATACTAAGGACCATTCAAACACATGAACCTGTGGAGGTCATTCTCATTCACACCTCCTGATCCTTCCTGAAGAGTTCCACATACTAAGGACCATTCAAACACATGAACCTGTGGAGGTCATTCTCATTCACACCTCCTGATCCTTCCTGAAGAGTTCCACATACTAAGGACCATTCAAACACATGAACCTGTGGAGGTCATTCTCATTCACACCTCCTGATCCTTCCTGAAGAGTTCCACATACTAAGGACCATTCAAACACATGAACCTGTGGAGGTCATTCTCATTCACACCTCCTGATCCTTCCTGAAGAGTTCCACATACTAAGGACCATTCAAACACATGAACCTGTGGAGGTCATTCTCATTCACACCTCCTGATCCTTCCTGAAGAGTTCCACATACTAAGGACCATTCAAACACATGAACCTGTGGAGGTCATTCTCATTCACACCTCCTGATCCTTCCTGAAGAGTTCCACATACTAAGGACCATTCAAACACATGAACCTGTGGAGGTCATTCTCATTCACACCTCCACACCGACTCTCAGCCCACTTCCTCCCATCTGTGCTCATTTGTTATGTCTGTCTTTGAGAAGAAGAGAATTAAATGGTTAAAAAATGCAGGAAGACCATTGAGCAGTCCCATTTTTTTAATGTGTACACCATTTAAAGTCATTTGAACAAATGGGGAAAATTGTTTGGAGAGTGCTAATTAACAGGGGCTTGTCACCACCTCTCTCACCAGCTGGTGAGAGAGAGGACAGCCTGCCTGGGCAGGTTCCTCATTCCTCTTTACCCTTCTGCCCACGCCCAAACTAGAAGGAGACAGCTGTGACAAAGAAGGAGAGATCAGATCAGTTTCCTCTCTAACAGGAGTCCCGAGCGTTGATCCTCTTTCTTTGGCTGCCTGGGGAAAGGCTCACATGCCCAGTCTGCAGCCTCGAGACCAGTCCCAGGTGCATAGGTTGCTTTTGCATGCATTTGCAAACCATGGTTTCCTCTCCCCTCTATAGCTTGGTGGCCTTCTCACACTGCAGGCATGTGACATCTTACTCCAGAAGCCATTTGAATCTGTCCTTAATGTTCGATCCCTGAAGCAGTTCTTGTTAACTAGGAACTTCAGACTCACGGTCACACGTGTGACTTAGGTGCTTATGCAAGTGATTCTTAGTGGCCAATTTACAAGGCCACTTACTTACGTCTAGTCTGTCTTGCTATTCTTTTGTGGGTTGGAGGGAGGTAAAGGAAAGCCAGGCAAACCTTGCAGTGGTAGCGCACACCTTTAATCCCAGCACTCTGGAGACAGAACAGGGGGATCTCTGTGAGTTCAAGGTCAGCCTGGTCTACGGTGACTTCCAGGACAGGTTCCAAAGCTACGCAGAGAAACCCTGTCTGAAAAACCAAAAAAAAAAAAAATAATAATAATTAATTGATTGATTAAATAAAAATAAATCCAGATGTAGTAGAATGTGCCTGTCAGTCCAGCTAGTTGGGAGGCTGAGGGGCTGAGGCAGAGAGGGTGACTTCAGCCTGGGAAATGTAGGAGATCCCACTCTTAAAACAAAAGGACAAACAATCAGTGGAGAAAGCCTCATTGTATGACCCTAGCTGGCCTGGAACTTTCTATGTAGACCAAGCTGCCCTCCGCCTCCAAGTGCTGGGTTAATGGCTTGTGCCACCTCACCCGGCTATGATGTAATATTTCTGTGTTTTCTCTAATTATATTTCTGTGCTAGTGCATACATGTGTGCATGTGGATGTACTGTGGCCGCATGTACGCCTTTGTGCATATGCACATAGAGCCTCAGTTACTATTCACCTTGTTCTTTGAGACTGTTTCCCACTCACCTGAGACTACCTGTGTCTGCCTCCACAGCACTGGCGTTACAAGTGTGCTCTGTTACACTGTCTGATTTATGTGGGTTTTACTAGACGAAACCATCTCTTTAGCCTGATTTCTGAGATTTTGTTTTTAACCATTTATTCCCTTTTAGCTAGACCTAAAATTTCTGTAGATAACACTTCAGATGCAAAAAGCAATGACAGAATAAATAGATAAATAAATAAATAAGTTAATAACCAGATCTAAACCACCACATTCAATGGAGGTGGTGTACCTTGAATCCTAACACCAGAATTGAGCATGACCTATAGGGTCAGCAGCTCATCCCTGCTCTGAACCCTCACAAAGGTCACAGCACCCCAAAAGACGAAACTTGGAATCTTTTTGTTGTTTTTGTTTTTCAAGATAGGGCTTTTCTGTAGCTTTGGAGCCCATCCTGGAATGCGCCCTATAGACCAGGCTGGCCTTGAACTCACAGAGATCTACCTGCCTCTGCCTCTGGAGTACTGGGATTAAATGCAAAACATAGAATCTTTCCTGGGCTTGATTGCATAGATAAACAGACAAAAGCAAAATGAATTTTAATTGGCATGAATATATATATATATACACATATATATACTAACTAAATCCATAAGAACCTATATAGGTATGAGTCAAGATTTTTTTTACCAAGAAATGTTCATATATAATGTATATAATTGTTAACTGAAAGTTGAGCGGGAGCTACATATTTTAACACTAAGTAGTAGTATATTGGTGGTTCATGCCACTATATCAAGCATTTGTAGTACTGCCAGTGGTAATGTTTTTACCTCTTATAAAACTCTGGTCTTGGAACTGGTAAGATGGCTAAGGAACTGTGCTTGACACCAAACCTGATGACATACATAATTTCCATCCCCAGGACCCACATGGCAGAAGGAAAGGACAGATTTGTCATCTAATTCCCATACTTATATCATGGCAAATGCATACTCACATATACATACATACATACATACATATATACATACATACATACATACATACATGTAAGATGTTTTTAAAAATGTAAAGACCTAGAGAGATGACTTAGCAGTCAGGAGTACTTGTTGCTCTTGCCGAAGACCAGAGTTCTGTTCCCAGCATCCACATGACAACTTACAACCACCTGTAGTCCTGCCCCAAGGAATCTGATTCCCTTGTCTTGCCCCCAAAGGCACCCACATTCACGTGCACATTCCCAAGCAGATACATAGTGTCTTAGTTAGGGTTTCTATTGCCGTGAAGAGACACCATGACCACCACAGCTTTTATAAAGGAAAACATTTAATTGGGGTGTCTCACTTGTAGTTCAGAGGGTTAGTTCGTTGTCATCATGGTGGGAAGTGAGTAGATGTGGTGCTATAGAAGAAGCTAAGAGTTTTTACATTTTGACTCACAGGCAATAGGAAGTGCTGTTTCACTGAGCATATGCGAGACCTCAAAGCCTACCTCCACAATGACATTCATCCAACAAAGCCACACCTCCTAATAGTGCCCTCTGGGGGCCATCCTTTCAGTCTACCCATAATTAAAAATAAACTAAACATGTTTAGGACAGGATCTCACTATGTAGTTTCTGACTGTCCTTGAACTCATAGAGCTCCTTCTGTCTCTGCCTCCTAAGTGCTAGGATTAAAGATGTGAGCCACCACACTCAGCTAAAGTAAATTTTTTTTTAATTCTCTGTGTTTGCTGAACCTTGAGGAATAAGAGTTATTCTCTAATGTATGGATAGACTCTTGTTAGTGCTATGAATACAATGTAGAGAAGACATTTGAAGCAAACACATAAGTTTGACTTAAAATTATTTTTAAAATGCTTATCAGGGACATATACATATAGAAACTGTTTTAAAGTACACACTTTTTAGTAGGAAAAAGTAACACAAGACTAATATGTAACTTTCTAATTGAACAGAATTTTTTAACCCTTTAGAACTGGTGATACAGCCCAGTGGTAAGAGTGTTTGCTAGCAAACATGTAATCCTGGGTTCAGTCTCTAGTACTGCCAAAAAAATAAGGATTTTTTTTATCATTTAGAGAGAATTGTTAAACATTTTTGGACTGCCAATATGCTACTGCTTGGTGTTAAAATACTACATTATTACAAGCATTTTAAATTGTACTGTGTGTGTGTGTGTGTGTGTGTGTGTGTGTGTATTCGTACACCTTTGTGCTTTTGTGAGACTCAGAGGACAACTTGCAAGAATCAGCTCTCTTTTGTGGGTCATAGGACTGAACTCAAGCCAGGCTCGACAGCAAGTGCCTTTAGCAGCTAAGATATCTCAAAGTCCCACAACAGATTTTTTCCAGTCTGCTTGGCAGATGTTTGAGACAGGGTCTCCATCTCTCCCAGGCTGGTCTCAAACTTTCTACTGCTACTTAGGTAAAAATGATACTGCACTTCTGATCCTCTTGCCTCTACTTCCCTATGTGCTAGTGTTGTAGGCGCCCGTCACCTTGATCACTTTATATGGTGCTAGAATTTGAACCCAGGGCCTCACTATGCTAGGCAAGCATTCTAACAACTGAGCTACATCCCTGGTCCAACTTTTATACTATTTTAATGCTGTAGGCTAGTGTCAGTAAGATGATCTCAATAGTATATCATTAGGAAGAATTGTAACACACACAAAAAAAAATAAAAGACCCAGAGACACATATTGAGGTTCAAGCTTCAAACTGAAAATCAGAAAAATGAAGCAGCCGGCCACTAGCTCTTACCTCTACCTCAGGCTGAAAGGGTTGATACTGTCTATACAAACTCTCACCAAGCCTCAGACTGCTGCCTCTCCTAAGTGTGGGTGGAGACTCAGAATGCAGCCTGAGACACTGGGCTCCTGGTTTTTATACATCTCTCTAGGGCTTGGATTAAAGGCATGAGTTCTGTTAATCTTTTAGACTGATTCACTCTCATGCAGCCCTGAGTGGCCTTTGATCACAAAGATCCATCTTGAGTCCTGGGATTAAGGGTGTGTGTGTGCCAGCACTGCCTAGTTAACTAGCATGACTGACTTTGTATTCTAATACTTAAGACATTCTTTATTGAATCATAAATAACATATCACCACAAAGAATTGTGTAGAGAAATAATGAAATCACTTTCTTCATTTTTAGGTGTGTGGTTTTTAATAACAGAGGAGTGGCTGGGGAGAATCTCTTGGTGAGTAAATTTAAATGACAAGTCTCAATTTGAAAAGGAATCATTTCCTGGTATATAATGAAAAGCATATTATTTTATTGAAACTAGTTTTACAGTTAATGTAAGATCATAGTAGAAAAACCTCTCTAGGCCAAGTTAGTATACTTTATGATTTTTTAATTGATGGATTGATTGATTGTGTGTGTGTTAGTATGTGTATCTGATACCTTGAGCTAGAATTATTTACAATTGTGAGCCGTTTCGTGAATTCTGGAAACTGAGCTTGGGTTCTCTAGAAGAGCAGAAAGTCCTTGCAACTACTGAGCCTTCTCTCTAGCTACCACCATTCTATTTCATAAGAACTTTTATATTCACTAGCTTCTAAAACTAGTAGATACTAATGTCTATCTTTTTGTTTGTTTTGTTTTTGGGGGCAGTATTTTTTTTATTTGGTTTGGGTTTTTTGTTTGTTTGGTTGGTTTTGGTTTTTTGAGCAGGGTTTCTCGGCAGAGCCTTGGCTGTCCTGGAACTCACTCTGTATACCAGGCTGGCCTCAAACTCAGAGAATGCTGGAATTAAAGGTGTGCACCACTACCACCCAGCTATGTCTATTATTTTTAATGCAAAATAAGTTTTCTTCAAAAATTGACCAATATAGCCTGGAGATGAAGCTCAGTGGTTAGAGTTCTTGCCTAGCACGTGTGAAATTCTAGGTTCAACCCAGGTATGTGGAGGGGGAATCTTACTGTTCCATTGCTGTGAAGAGACACCATGACCAGGACAACTCATAAAGAAGCATTAACTAGGGCCTTGATAATATTTCACAGGGTGGGTACATGACCATCGTGGTAGGGATCATGGCAGCAGGCAGGCAGCAGTAGCTCTGGGAGCTCACTTCTGATCCCCAGGCAGCAGGCAGAGAAAGCAAGACTGGGCCTGGTGTGAAGCCCACCCCTGGTGACACACCTCCTCCAACAAGGCCGCACCTAGAAGCCTAGGATGATGTAGTCTCCGTATCAGTGGGTGAATCTGGTATGAGCTCAGATGACTCAAGTGCCAATCGAAATGTGGACAGGACAGTCTCTGGCTGTGGTTTGATTTCAGATGGAAACAAGGACTCTATTGGAAATTGTGTTATGTTCTGGCAGTGAACTTAGTATGTTTTGAGATTTTATGGAAGGCAGCCAAATATTCAGGCCACAGCATGATTTTGCCACCTCCATTTTTGGGGGGAAGGGGTATTTGATTCTAGACAGGGTTTCTCTGTATAACAGCCCCTGGCTGTCCCGGAACTCACTCTGTACACCAAGCTGGCCTCGAAATCACAGAGATCCACCCACCTCTGCCTCATGAGTGCTGGAATTAAAGGTGTGTGCCTCCACTGCCCAGCTGCTAGCTCCATTTTTTGAGACTTTGTAGCGGGGAGCAGAGGAGAAAGATAACCCCCTCCAAAAAAAAGAAAACAACTGAAGTTTAGTTAGAAAAACCGATGTAAAATTGAGAGTAAAGAAGGCATGGTTTCTGAAGAGGCCAGTGCCATTAAGGAAGCCAATCACTTTGCACTGAGACACCAGGATATATGCCTGCATGCATGCTTGGAATTGGCCAGACTCTACCCATGGCAAGCTCAAGCATATAAAAAAAAAAAAAACTCTTTTAAATATTTTCTCTTAAGAAGGGAAAACCTGCCAGGCGGTGGTGGCGCATGCCTTTAATCCCAGCACTCCGGAGGCAGAGGCAGACGGATCTCTGTGAGTTCGAGGCCAGGCTGGACCGACAGCCTCCAAAACAATACAGGGAAACCCTGTCTCGTAAAAACCAAAAAAAAAAAAAAAAAAAGAAGAGAAAACCTGGCCAGGTGGTGGGAGCACACACACTTTAATCCCAGCATTTAGGAGGCAGAGGCAGAAGGATCTCTGTGAGTTTGAGGTCAGCCTGATCTACAGAGTGAATTCCAGGACAACCAAGGCTACACAGAGAAACCCTGTCTTAAGAAAGGAAGGAATGAAGGAATGAAGGAAGGAAAGAAAGAAAGAAAGAAAGAAAGAAAGAAAGAAAGAAAGAAAGAAAGAGAATACTTGTAGGGTTCTTGTTCTCATGGTACCAACCAGGAGATTGTTTCGCCCAGGATCTGATACAGCTGTGGTCCATGATATTCTGATTTTATCATTTGAGATGTTGGCAGACTTGGAGGCTCACGTGATGCTGATTGCAGGCACACAAGATGCAAGAGTTTCATCTTCAAGGAGAAAACTTCTACCTAGATTCCAAAACTGTGTGTGTGTGTGTGTGTGTGTGTGTGTGTGTGTGTGTGTGTGTGTGGTGTTGAGCAGACAGTGTGTGGCAGGGGAGTGGTCTCCGCAGAGTCCTTGAGAGGGTGATACATGAAGCTGAAATTTGGAAATGTGAGGAATATGGAAAGCTGCAGGCAGAAAATGAAGCCAGATCAAGTCAGAGGTCAAGTGGGTTGTGAATGCCACAAGCATAGGGTAAGTAAGGGCTGCCCGAGCTTGGATGAGCTCATCATTGCATCATCAATGCTCTGCACCAGGCAGGAAGCATGCAGGACTTAGTGTGTTCCCTGCTGTGTTTCATTCTTGTTGTGCCAATCCTTCCTTGCTGTTTTTATCGCTGTTAGAATAGTAATAACGTCTGCTATTGTGTCTCAGGAGTATACAACTTCCTTCATGATTTCTAGGGACTCACAGCCAAGAGTTTGTGTTGACAGGCAATGCTGGGACGGTTAAGAGTGTGGGAGCTCAGAGAGACAAATACGAGCTTTGCAGGGCTGAAATATCTAGGTGGCAGTGCACGCGTTAGCCAGGGTGACGAGGAATGGTTGGCTTGAGGAGTCCCTGTGGAAGCTGAATTAGTGGTGCACACTTACAAACCTAGGGCTCAGGAGAGTGAGGAAAGGGGATTGCTGAAAACTTGAAGCCAGCCTGGGATCCTTAGTGAGTCTGAGGCAAGACTGGGCTTCATCGCAAGATCTTGCCTGAAAACCAAACAGAATAAAGCCTAACAGACTGGAGAGATGGCTCAGTGGGTTAGAGTGCTTGCTGCACACCAGTGAGGACCTGAGTTCCCACCCTACCAGCCACATAAGAAACGGAGCATGACCGTGCTCATTGTAACCCCAGTGCTGTGGTAGCCAGGCAGGAAGAGCACTTTTAACCGAGCTCCATGGTCAGTTCTCATCCACACAGGTGCACACATTTGCACGTATGCTGCACACATTTGCACGTATGCTGCACACATTTGCACGTATGCTGCACACACACGCACCCCTCCCCCACTCTCAACACAAGCCAACATCAGCAAACAAACCCAAGAAATGCTTGTGAGATTAATGCACTTTATAAGATCAGTAGGTGAGTCTGTGAGAGGGCCACTTTCTAGGAAGGATTGGCAACAGTTGCAGGAGGCCCTACCCTGTGTGTGAGCAGCATCGTCCCTTGAGCTAAGGCCTGAGTGAAACAAAAGGAGGAAGCCAGCTCACACAAACATTCTCTCTCTGTATCCTGCTCGATCAGTTGCTCTGCCTGTATTGACCAATCGAACCCTCTGAAACTGAGCAAGAGAAGCCTTTGCTCCCTTGCTCCTCAGGCGTTTTTTTGGTCACCGCACTGAAAAGTTCAGCACACCGAAATTTTCTTGTAGCTTTTTATCTTCTAGTTAAACAGCTCAGCAAGTCAAAGACTGCCGGTGGCTATGACTTCTGGGGGTCTGCAGTTTTTCTTTTGGCCTCTGTGGATACCAGGCATGCTCATGGTGCACAGACAAAAGATTTTTCCACATAATTTTTAAATGATTATAAATAAGTTACAAGGAAATAAAAGTATAGTCACATCTCAAACATCAGCATTTTGTAAGCACTGTCCACAAGAGAGCTTTTGGATTATTTAGGCCCTGAAAGGAAGTGAGATCACATGATTTTCAAAAACATGTTAACAGTGTTTACGCTCTTACTCGAGTGCCTCATAATGAACAGTGTGGCGTGAGAGTTCTCTTCCCTCATTGGCTCCAGCCCTCCAGGCGTCTTGAACAGACATTCTAAAGGAAGAGGATTGAAATTGCAGCAGTGGCCTCACCCACCTCCATTGTCTTAAGCAGTTCCTGTTGGCTACCTTTTTTTTCCATTCCAACCACAGATTCCCCTCCCTCGTCTACTCCTAACCCCTCCCCCCATCCACTCCTCCTCTATCCCCATTCAAGGCCTCCCATATCAAGTTGAGGCAGGACCAAGTTCCTCCCCCTCTGAATCAAGGCTGGGCAAGGCATCCCCCCATGGGGACTGGGTTCCAAAGAGTGAGCTCATGCTTCAGGGACAGGTTCTGATTCCACTGCTAGGGGCCCCACAAGACCAAGCTACACAATTGTCACACACATGCAGAGGGTCTAGGTCAGTCCCATGCCAACTCCCTCGCTTTCACTCCAGAGTCTGTGAGCTCCCACAAGCTCAATCAGCTGTCTCTGTGGGTTTCCCTGTCATGATCTTGATGCCCCCCGCCCTGCTCATATAATCCCTCCTTCCACTCTTCAACTGCATACCTGAAGCTTGGCACAGTGCTTGGCTGTGGATCTCTGTATCTGCTTCCATCAGTTACTGAATGAAGACTCTGTGATGACAATTAGGGTAGTCACCAATCTGACTACAGGGGAAGGCCAGTTCAGGCACCCTCTCCACTGTGGCTAAGAGTCTTTGTGGGGTCATCTTTGTGGGTTCCTGGGAGTTTCTATGACACCAGGTTTCTCCCTAAACCCATAATGGCCCCCATATTAAGATATCTCTTTCATTGCCCTCCCCCTCTGTCCCACTCCTAACTCAACCATCCTGATCCCTCATGTTCCCATCCCCCCATCCCCTCCCCTGCACCCCACCTCTGCCTGCATTTTACCCAAGAGATCTCGTCTATTTCCTCTTCCCAGGGCATTCCATGTGTCCCTCTTAGGGTCTTCCTTGTTGCCTAGGGGGATTGTTCTCTGGGGTTGTGGATTATAGTCTGGCTATCCTTTTCTTT